TAAAAAATTGTCTTATGATTAGCCTGTGTTGAAAAAAATATTATTTCTACAGCTTAACACAAAAAATGTAAGGGTGTTAATGGTTTTGCAGTTTAAAATATTCTGCTCCAAAGTAATGATACTTGAAGGGATTTAAGCAAATCGCAAACCCCATAAAGCCCACTTTTTTTTTGGGGGGGGGTGGTGTTTTTTTTACCTTTTAGTAACTTAGGAATACATTTTTATTTTATGTACTCTATCGTTGGTAAATTTTATCGCAAAATACTTTATTTTTTATGTGAAAATTAAATGATTTTGGTGTAATGTCTCTGTCTGCGTGTCCCAAGCTCTATCTGATTCACTTCTACTTAATAAATTGTTTAAAAGATCTTGACTTCTCCTGGTGCCTGCAAAATGTTTAAATTAATATCGAAATGTCATTTACCCACGCAGTTTGCGCAAGGAGCCTCTGAACAAGTTTATTACTTGCCATTCTTGTAATGATTGTAATATTTTTTAATCCTGTTAAAATGTCAATCCATTACTTTCTCCCTACAAAATCACTGATTTCCTGCTGACTAAAACCCAATTCAGTTGTCGTAGAATATTGTTAATATAGTGATCTTTTGACCTAGACCTTTGTTTTACTCCCATTTTTGGATCACATAAATACACAGTTAACTCTTCAATGCGATTCATTACGAACTTGTTTGTGAACTCACCTCGGAGAACGTCTTTACAACGTAGAAGATGCCATTGGTTCAGTTTGGCATTGAATGGCCAAACATTTCATCCACGTCTACGTGTGGACATCCTCGAGTCGTGGCAGGGGTCGCGGGCCCAGTGTTTGAAGGCGGTGGCTGGCCAGCCGGCGTCTGAGGATGTCCACCGCAGACGTGGATGAAACGTTTGGTCCTCAATGCCAACTGGACAACAGCCTAACCAGCCCAGAAAAATTTCTGCTTCTATTTACTCTGGCCGTGAAAGCCTATGAATGACGTCCTTTATACATTGTGACTGTGAGACTGATAGTGCTGTTTTTCCATTTGTTGGTCTGGTCTCCTGTATTTCAAACGTTGCCAAGGTGGAAAGTGGTTCGGACATAAATTCTTCAGAAATTGCTTCTATGTGGCTTCATTTGAGTGATCCAAATTTTAATTCACGATTTATAGAATTAGTTGGCGATTGTTTTGACATCTCAAACTCACAACTCTCTATGAAAAGCACTATTTTCATGGGTACGATAGTAAGTAATATAGTTTTGTTGAAATAATTTTAATACAATGCCAGTGTTCAAAACGTAAAAGAAGTTGGTAAAAGTGTTTATAATAGTGTCCTTGAACATCAGGTGGTTTTATTTTATTTATTTCTTTTATACTAATCTCTCAACATGCACTAACCATGTACCTATATAATCTAATCACAAGCATACACACAAACATGCACATACAAACATTAACACACCAATCACACACACTCACTTGTTAGCAGTTTTCCCCAGCCCAAAATTGGTAGCCGCCTTATCATTTTTTATATATATATATATATATATATATATATATATAAATATAAAATAAACAACTTCCTAAATTTGAGGGATTTCCCTAAATTAACTCTTAGAAAATTTGAGAATTGAGGATAATATTAATAAAATTATTTTGTTTTACAAAATCTGGAAGAAAATATTCAAAAATTTAATTTTATTGTGCTGAAAAAAAATAATTTTCAAAAACTGTTGCCTATAGTGTTTTTCCCGATAGGAAGACACAATGCGTCTTATGAAATCCATATGTTGTGCCCAACGATGGGCTTTTTCACGCTCCGCTTTGAGATTCGTCAAAATCACAGCTACCTTTCTCAATATATATGCAGCATCAGAAAAATGTTTGTTCGCACACATATTATTATATTATTAATTATAGCTGTAAATATTTTATTTGCATAAATATCTAATACCAGGGACCTTTTCAGGTATTTCAGGTATAAAATAAAAAAAAAATCAAAATGGTTGATTGTGCTGGTCAAATATGGAGGTAATTAATTTACACTATAAACAAAACACTACAACCACATTTATCCAACTTTCAATTTTAGTATATTATGTTCGCTTTTCTCCATTCTAAACTATAGCATTTCTCGTAGATATAAATTATTTGACACAAAATTAAAATAATTTCTTTCTATCATTACTGGCCCTACTTGCCTTACTTTTCAAATCTCCTTTACATTAATGAGACCTAAAAATATTTATGACCATTAGTAAATGTTGACGTTAGGCTTTCATCTACACCACCCGATAGTTGCTGGAACATTTTTAAATAAAAATGCATTAATTTTGAGACCATACGCGTATGCCTACAAAATTGTCATAACTTCATTCCCTACTGATTCTATACTTCAGGCCAGTTAACTTCATTTTTCTTGGGGGTCAGTATTTCATTCTCATTTTCCCTTTTTATTGTAAAAGAAGAAATTCGTTGATGAGCGTTGCCTACAAATTCATTCACACGATTGACTCCATGTTCTGAATGTTTTTCTTTAAAGTTTCAATTCTTAAAAAATGTTTTTTTTGTACCACAATTAATTATTTCCTTATCTACTGAACGAATATCTAGAAAGACGAATTCTTGATAGGGCTTCTCATGAATTATGCGAGTATTGATTTGGATGGTCCTTGGTGAATGAAATCATCTAAACTAACACTTCCTGATTTCAGTCCTAGAAGTCGCCCATGCCTTGCATCTTTTGCCCTCTTTCTTTTTGTGGCTCCCGTCGAGCCTCAATCGTCCTCGCGGTAGCCACACGCTCCTCAAGTTTCGCCAGCTTAAGTGTCCCTTAATGTGTTGTGTACGCTTAAACTAAATTTTCTACCCTAAACAAAAAGTGTACTAAATGAAATTCTTTGACTTGCATTGCATAATATTTATTCATTGTCTTAAAATATTTTAGTATTATTTTATAATGTAATAAGGCAGTTATGAATGTTGACAGTGGAAAAATATGAATCGTTTAAAATTTTGGTTTTATTGGATTTGCAAAAACTTGTGAATATAATACATTTTCTTTGTCAAAAATATATTTGTGAATATTTAAATGTAGTCAGAATTTTGTAATCATTGTTTATTGCAGTTACATGGTGATTAAATATATTATTTGTTCTTCAGGTCAAACCTGATTATGACCCTAACATACAACTTGTCTTTGTGCGAAGCTGATTGCTGATCTTATTATGCTTGGTTCTTGCCACAACACGAACCAAATTTCACACATTATTCGAGAAGAATTCCACACCTAACAAACCCAAGCCCTGTGATGACTTCTGCGGTCAAATTGGTAGTGATGAGAAACTAAGGTAAATATTGCAATACTGTAATTGTGCAGGTGCATCAGCATTGTATTGTGTTTTTTTACCAGTCCTGTTGGGTTTACAAATCCTCATTCATATCATTTTTCTAATAACGCTTAGTTTTATTTCTAGTTCTGTATATTGAATGTATTAGTAACCTATGAACTTGCGCATTGACTCACTATGAATTTCTTAATTTGTTGATGATGCTAAAATGATCTCGGTATATTACATTACCGTATTGAGAGATAAGTGGATTGAAAGAGGATTCATTTTGATCCATCATTAATTGTTTATTTTGAATTTTGGTTCAATCAGATTGGTTTTCTTAGAAGAGAAATAATCTTTCTTGAGATAAATTTTGTTTTTAAAAGTATTGGCATTTACTCTCAAGTTAACAAATTTTTTGTTAAAGGAAATGGTTGGCAGGTTAAAAATTTTTGATGCATGGGTGGCAGTGAAGAAATGTCACATGCAATGATGAGAGATTAAATGCAAGACATTATACCACATCGAGCTCCAAAGACTTGGTTTAGGGGGATTAACCCTCATGTTGAAAGCTCCCTTGGAAGTAGTCCTAGGACCAAGCTCATTGCGATTAAAACCTAAAAAAAAATTCTGAGAGAGACCAATTCCCTTGTTAAATATTTATGTAAATAGCAACAAAAGAAATTTGAATTGATTATTAAATATCTTAGAACATAAAAAGATATAACAACTAAATAAGAACAATTTTTCTTGTGTGAATAATGAAAATAGTTCAAACATAAATTTAGCAACTATTCTGCTTTTCAGTCATGAGAGAAAGATTGTATTGGTCTGCCTAAAAGAACATGCTAAATCAAGAGGTAATTGCCTTTGGGTTCAGAGGTGGGAGTTTATTTTTGTTCGGCTCAACGTGTTTTACGTGAATATTTGGCAAGGACTTGAAATGCCCAATTGCCTTGTCGAATATAACTTTGAAAGAGCTATGATGAACTGGTTTTCATGTGCTTTTTTGTGGGCAATGATTTTCTTGGCCACATTTACCATCATTATGAAATCAGAGAAGGTGTTTTTTTTACAATAAATCGTTTAGTGGAACTGTACAAAAAGACTTCTACAAAACGGGGGTAAGTACTGTACAGTAGAATTTATTAGTTATTTGCTTAATTAAAATTATTTATGGAAGATATTTATTGGCCATTTCAGTGCGACACCTACAGTTATTAAATCAAAATGGAAAGGTCTATACCTGAAATGGTGCAAATATTTACCCAAGTTAATATGACGACCCTATAACTTTTTGATGAAGCTCAGTTGAGAATGTTTTAAATTTCTGACGTATTTTAAGATAAAACAATAATTGCAAATTTGTCTTATAGCTAGAAAAATTGACATGTTGATTAGAATGTTAGCACTTATTTCTGCAACTATAATTTTCTTGTTCCTTAAAATGATAATTGTCGTCGGTCGGTTTTGTTACTACCCTCAACATCTTCTCATGTGTGAAACGTTTCTATTTCTTTTTGTCCTCTTCCATGCTGCATCACCTTTGACTTTTCTGAAAGTTTTCGTGCCCTTGAATTTGCATGTTTAGTCTTTT